TTACTGATAATATATTTCAAGAGACTTATCTATGGTAAAAATTAAGATAAACTCCCATCGCTTGACTAAATAACAACTCCAGTTCATAGTCCAGTTATCAAACAAACATAAGACAGAAAGTTACTGGGTACCACAGTTTCTGTCCAAGAATGAATATAAGAGCAACTTCCAACGACAATTATATAGCTTTGGAAGAAGTAGAGTCAAAAAGAAGACAACCAGACAGTAGACTATCTTTGAAATTTAGTATCCAATGATTGGAGAAAGCGTTTGTTGACTAAGTTGCAAGTTATAATCATACAGAACAAGCTTTCACTGTTTTCACTATCCTCTTTAGAGTGGCACTGAGCACCGTGGCCTTAGGTACTATCATATATTACCGGATGGAAACGTGACTTTAACCTCTAAAGGACTCGTAACTTTTTATGCGTGAGGATGCTGAGACAATCAAATATCAGTATTTCATAGTTTATCAAATACTTGTAGCAAAAGGAAGGACATACTAATTTCAGCTCTATCCATTCGTCAACAACTAACGAGAGGAAGAGCTTGCATACTCTTGTTTTATGTTTGCTTCATTCTATCCAACAAAAAGCTTGTCTCAGAGGATTGACAAGACTCTTCTATTTGGAATAAAAAGTGTAAAAAGAAGTTGAAGAAACCAAGACCAGTTTCCTGTAGAAGAAAGTGTCGTTTACAGACTAAGTTTTGTTCCTTAGTAATGGTTGAGGCTGACACTTGCAGCTTCTAGAAGCAATCGAATCTCTTTGGTATCAGTCGCCTCCAAGCTATGGTAAGAAATCTATCTTTATGAAGCACTCGTTTAGAAAGGGTGCAACTCAAAAGGCTCCCCAAATTTTATGGTCTTTGTCCACAGAACCAATAAACAAGTTTTATAAGGCTATCTGTAGTAATATAAATTTTTGCCTAAATGTTCTCTTCCTTGTAGTGATCTAGATACTCCTCATCGGTTCTTGCAGATAACTTGAGGCTTACTGTGTAACATCCGAGAGAGTTTATTCTACAGCAGTTAGTTGTCTTAGGAGAGCTCTTCATTTTAGAAACTTTCTCGTGGCGTTTACAAGTTTCTACAACATTGTCAATACTAGATAACACTCTGTTTTTCACAATCCTATATCAACTTGACAACTGTACAAGTCATAGAACACGGACAATCACGCTTCAAAGAATCTTCCATAGCGGACTGAGAATATCCATTGGACAAGAGAAATATTTAAGGCAAATTATTTCACGCATTTCTCTTTATTTCTTGATTGTGGGTGTCTTTGGAACATCAAAGTCTGTTTTGTGGATTGAATTAGAATGAACGGTTCCCCTAAAAGTTATCCAAGACCCGGAGAAAGTGGTTGCCCTGTTACTTTCAAGTCACAATATGAAAACTTTATTGGTGGCAAATGGGTTCCTCCTGTCAAGGGTCAATACTTTGACAACGTGTCCCCTGTGAATGGAAAAGTATTCTGCAAGAGTGCACGTTCAACTGCTGAAGATATTGAACTGGCCTTGGATGCTGCCCACGCTGCAAAGGACAAGTTTGGTGCAACAACTTTTGAGCAGAGAGCAAAGTTATTGAATCAGATGGCAGATGCTATAGAACAAAACTTGGAGAAATTAGCTCTTGCAGAGGTATGGGATAACGGAAAGCCTATAAGGGAAGCTCTTGCTGCAGATATTCCTTTGGCAGCGGATCACTTGAGATATTTTGCTTCAGCTGTACGAACTCAAGAAGGTTTTATCGCCGAGCATAAGGAAAATACGGTTGCCTATCATTTCCACGAACCTTTAGGTGTTGTGGGAGCCATCATTCCTTGGAATTTTCCTATATTGATGGCTATTTGGAAGTTATCTCCTGCACTTGCCGGAGGTAACTGCATCATTATTAAACCAGCAGAACAAACTCCAGCTTCTATTATGGTGCTAATGGAAGTATGGGCCAATATTGTACCACCGGGTGTTATCAACGTTGTTACTGGTTATGGGCCTGAAACAGGGAAACCTTTAGCATGCAGTCCTCGAATTGCCAAAATAGCATTTACAGGTGAAACCACAACAGGGCAGCTGATCATGCAATATGCTTCCCAAAATATCATTCCAGTCACCTTAGAATTGGGTGGTAAATCTCCTAATATTTTCTTTGCAGATATTGCAAATGAAAATGATGAATTCTTTGAAAAGGCTGTGGAAGGTTGCGTTATGTTTGTGTTGAATCAAGGAGAAGTTTGTACTTGTCCATCTAGGGCTCTTGTTCATGAATCTATCTATGACAAGTTTATTGAGAAAGTAGTTCAAAGACTTGGCAAAATTAAACAAGGAGATCCATTGAATATGGAGACTATGGTGGGTGCTCAAGTATCTACTGAACAGATGGATAAGATACTTCATTACGTTGAGCTGGGAAAGAAGGAAGGTGCACAATGTATTGTTGGAGGAAGTGGAAAGAAAGCAATTGGAGGTGAACTAGAAGGTGGTTATTATATTGAGCCAACGATATTCAAAGGAGACAATAAGATGAGAATCTTCCAAGAAGAGATATTTGGGCCAGTATTGAGTGTAACAACATTCCGTACGGAGGAGGAAGCTATTCAAATTGCCAACGATACTTCTTATGGTTTAGGTGCTGGACTATGGACTCGAGATATTATGAAAGCTTATCGAGTATCGCGAGCAATCAAAGCTGGTCGTGTTTGGGTCAACTGCTATCATGAATATCCTTCTCATGCAGCATTTGGAGGTTATAAAAAGTCTGGATTCGGTCGCGAATGTCACAAGTTGACTTTGGAACACTATCAACAGTTGAAGAATATCATCATTAGCTACTCGCCTCAGCCTACTGGTTTATTTTAATTCAGAGAGGAAATGTGAGATCTTGTTGCCTTGCCCTTCTTATGCCGTAGTTGTTGTTTGATGGGAATGTTTCATTTGCTTGTTATAAACCTTGATGTGTATCGTGGCTTCTTTTGTCGAAATCTGTTTGTTAAAATTTTTTTCCTCATACAATGTTCCTATTTCAATAGAGTGAAACTAGAGTAGGATGTGACATTGCACACACTGTATTGGTTCTAAAATAGAAGGGAATCGCAAAAAACTCACAGACTTGTGTAGAAAATCCTTGTTGACACAAGGTCTCTCTAACGGAGAGCAGTGTTACTATCCAAGGACTGATGACAGACGAAGACATCAAATAGAGTTGTCTTTCATTGAATTGTCATGTAGTTTGTAGTGGTTTTGATTGGATCATAAAATGTCTTCAAACAGATTGTCTCAATTGTTATTATGAAAACAACACAAAGATGGAATCTCTATGCTCTTTCAGTTTCAAAATGCAATCCTTCCAAATAGATCCATCTTATTTGGTCTATCTTCATAGAAACGTTGTATAAACGACCAAATAATGGACCTCGGCCTTTCCATGTCTTCCCTATTCTATCCTTTTTAAATGTTTTTGAATCTTCTTCCCTTTCACTGATAACTCGTCTATAAGTGGAGAGTGATAACCATGGTTCTCGGTCCTCACGAAAATTTCCTTTACAATACTTTGATTTTGTACAAACAATTTAATTTTCCTGCTTACCACTTTCAGGATCGATACATATAGTCATGCAGCGAATACAGTCACCAACGAATTCCATTTGTATCTTCTCGTCACTAAAATTGTTGGTAGATAACCACGCGATGTCCTTCCATCGATCTTCTTCCAATGAGAGTAATACAGGTCCAGCTTTCGGTGCAACTGTTGTTCTAAAATATACAGTAAGAATATGAGATTGTGTTCTTGAGCCATTGGCATACCTATTCTCTTTAGATAATGAACACGACACAACTTGGCTTTGTTTGACAACCAAATTTGGTCTAAAAACTTCCGCTAAAACAGGTTTCTTATTTTGAAATTGTAACAAATCATTGATCTTTTCTACACTTTGGCCACAAATCTAAAAGTTACAAATCGAACATAACGACACAGTGAAGCTAAATTTTCCATACCACTAATAAATGTGCATCATTGCGATATTTTTTCCCCTTCACACCCTTCCTCGAGGAATATTGCGACTTATATGCTTCTATCGTCATTAGCTGACAAGGAATCATCAAAACACTGGAAAGCCAACAATGAACTTTTTGTTGATTCCACTCCCATTCATAAAACTTTAATATCTTTGAAAACCCTTCAACAGATTCAGTGCTTTCAAACACTAATTCTGCAACAGTGGACCCCGTATCTTTTGTGATGGTTAAGTTGATAGATACATGAAGGGCCGAAATCCTGGCATGATTTCTTATGGAAAGTAAAGAGTGGGTTATGGAATGGACCAGGCAATATTTTCGATCATAAAGAAATCCCTCAGACCTGCTATTCAGTCACTTCTACATCTTTCAGTAGAAACCAATCAATCAACTTACGAAATTGGCCATTGTTTCACAGACATTCCTCTACAGCCCTTGATAGGATATATAAATATTTTATCGACCACGTAGAAACGGTTAGAATGCAGAGAAACCTCCGTCACTTCATTGGAACGACGATGATTGCCGATATCCGCTGGACCTGAATTTGTCTGTTCCCAAGCCATATGACAAATCTCTTTAAGTACCGTCACTAGCTTCAAAATATCTTCTTTACGAGAATGAACTCCAAAAGATATACGTACTGCTCCAATTACTTTACCATCGAGATATTCCTAAAGTTGTTGTTGAATGCTGAATGCTTTGTGAAACAGCATGCCATTACCAATCGATCCCAACAAGAAGAAGAAAGTTTTGCAATATGACAAATATCTGCTTCTGTAAAGCCCAAATAAAACTGACAACCACCAGGATTACATAACATTCCTGATCTCAGTAGAATACGTTTGGATAAACAAGCATAATAAATGGAAAGAGGACTCATAAAGCTACCATCTGGCAAGCGTACATTCATTGTAAGAATAGAGCCTCCTCGTTCACATAATCGAAATGTACCATAGCAATCATCTTCTTCATACATGTGAATGATAGATTGACCATTTGAATATTGCAATGTTACAAGTTGCTCTCTGGCATAGCAATAAATTTCATAAATATGATTCTCTATAACCTTCATGCCGCCAATGCTATATTCTATCCAATTCAGACCAACATCTAAGCCCACCAAAATGTCTACAAAGTTGAGAGTACCATCTTCCCAAGTATCGTGGAAGTTATCACTTCTCTTTGGAAATATCTGAAGACTCTGTGCATTTGCTAAAAGAATAGTTCCACCTCCATGATAACATTTTGTAGATAGTGTATGCAAGATTCGAGGACGATCCTTGCGAAGTATTATGCAACCGACTCCAGTTGGATACCCAAATATCTAAATACTGTCTGTCAATAGAGATAAGTGATCAATCTGCAGAAAATTCCAACCTTGTAAAAGGAAGCCACTAAAATATCTACATCTGAATATAGGTCGAGATTGATTGGATGCGAAGCTGCTAGTTTAGCACCGTCTACAAGAGTCACAATGTTTTCCCCATCAAAGTCGAATAAACCGTTTTGATGAATGAAGCGACAGAAATCTAAATGATAACGAGTTCCACAAAAGTTGCTTTCACCCGTGTAAACAAAAAGAGCGTAATCTTCTCGACTCTTTACTTTTTTACAAGTTCTGTTGTCCGCAATACTATCGCCGAGAATTGAAGAAAGCCAGTTCTTGCACCAATTTCTATCTATAGGGTATATAGCGGTCCCAGCTCTAGCTGCCTTGGTGCACATACAGTTAATGGGAAGAAACAGAAAAAAATAATATTTACACTAACATATTCACGAATTCCTAGAGCGGAGCTGTGACAGTCAGTAACATAAATCAGACCGTTGCTCTGCTTCCACTGGAAGTTTTCTCCAACAAGTTTTAACCCAGCAGTGGCTCTAAGTTGTTGAGCACAATTTGTTTTTCAGACTGCTTAGTTGTTGGTAACTTGTAACTTACCCACTAGTAAATACAACGTCATGAGTAGTAGAGGAAGCTCCAAAGAAACGTAAAACTCGGGCACGAACTCTTTCTAGACTTTCAGAAAAGCCTTCTGGTAAACTGTTTGACGCGCGAAAACGATGACTCAGATACGCGCAAACCCTAGGCAAAGATTTTGGAGTCTTACCTATGTGGATTCACAAAACCATTTTGACAAATTCTAGTGTAACATTCTCGCACCTATTGCGTCTTTGGATAGAACCATTTCTAGAACTAAGTATACATACTTGAGTAGTACTATATAATGCAGACCCGACAGCATCCAGATACAAAGTTATCTTTTTACTTTCGTTTTGTTGATACGAGTGAATCTTTGCAAATCCCAACTACAATTTCTTTCTACGTGATTCAAATGACGAAATTTATGATGAATAATTAGAAAGTACAAAACATTTGTTGAAGCTTGAAGAATCTCGTAAATTGTTTGTGGCTTTCTTATGTTGTAAAATAACCCAAAGTCTATTCAACCGAATGAATGTATCATATGAATAAGCTGCATTTGGTTGATACAAATGAAGTGAATTCATAACCAACTCACTTTTTTTGACGATTCTAGTCGATAAATCACGAATCGTTCTAAGAGAACGTCCCAGAAAATCTTCCTCATATTCCATTGGGAAACAAAACGATTTGATGGAAACTGACAAGTGTAATGCCAGTCCAACTATCATTCAAAGTACTCAGTCTGAAAAGACGCAAAACTTCTGACTCGGAGTTGAATCAGATGCAACCTTTGAGTTGCGAAGAAACTTCAAATATCAAGTCCTTTACAAACGTTTTCAACTTTGAGGTTTCCAACTTTCTAAGAGAAGCTATTTTTAAGTGTATAACTGGTAGAAACTCTCTACTGGAAGCAGCAAACTTTGAATATAGAACTGTTCCAAGTTTTCTTCAACTTCTTGATAAGCTCGATGATAGCTGTAGGGGTTGGTTGTTAGAAGATTGTAAGTTTGTCAACCTTAACCTCCCTTGGACACGTTCAAGTCTACTTGGTCACCTTGAAGTATTTTTTATGGAATATCCAAAGTTGTTTGAGCATGTTGTGATATGTCGCTCAGAGACAAAGCTTTCTCAACTTTGTGAAGCTTTGAAGATTTTTTTGAAAACAGTGCCAACATTATCTGCTAAAAGACTACTTTTCCTTCAAGTTGGTGATAAGGATAGTTCTTCTATACTTGAGTTGTTATCTATTCTTTTTCAAAAAGGATATGGTTCATCATTTCTTTATATAGACTTGGATATGTTTGACTTATCGAAGAGTTGGACTGTACTAGTCACTTGTCTTCAGTTGATTTCACGAGTTGAGTTTTTTGCGATGAATAGCAACAAAATTTCCAATGAGCAACTATTGATACTTTTGAGAATACTACACAAGGCTTTTCTTGGTTCTATTCATGCTTCTTTATGTGATCAATGGAGAATACCTCATTTTTTTTATATTTTAGAATTCTGTCAAACGAAACAAATATCATTGAAAGCAAGTTTTGATTTTCTGAGTTTGCAATTAGTTTCGTATTAGCTTTGCTGCTTTTGAGCCTTTTTGGACGACAAGTGAAGTTGAGATGAATCTTTCGTTGAAATCTATTAGTTCAGAAGGAGTGCAATATTTAAGTGAAGCATTGAAAGTCAACAATACATTGACTGAATTGGATATTCGTAGTAATAAGATTGCGTTAGAAGGAGTGCAATATTTAAGTGAAGCATTGAAAGTCAACAATACATTGACTGAATTGGATATCAATAATAATAACATTGCTTCAGAAGGAGTGCAATATTTAAGTGAAGCATTGAAAGTCAACAATACATTGACTAAATTGGATATTGGTTATAATAACGTTGCTTCAGAAGGAGTGCAATATTTAAGTGAAGCATTGAAAGTCAACAATACATTGACTGAATTGGATATTCGTAGTAATAAGATTGCGTTAGAAGGAGTGCAATATTTAAGTGAAGCATTGAAAGTCAACAATACATTGACTGAATTGGATATCAATAATAATAACATTGCTTCAGAAGGAGTGCAATATTTAAGTGAAGCATTGAAAGTCAACAATACATTGACTAAATTGGATATTGGTTATAATAACGTTGCTTCAGAAGGAGTGCAATATTTAAGTGAAGCATTGAAAGTCAACAATACATTGACTGAATTGGATATTCGTAGTAATAAGATTGCGTTAGAAGGAGTGCAATATTTAAGTGAAGCATTGAAAGTCAACAATACATTGACTAAATTGGATATTGGTTATAATAACGTTGATTCAGAAGGAGTGCAATATTTAAGTGAAGCATTGAAAGTCAACAATACATTGACTAAATTGGATATTGGTTATAATAACATTGCTTCAGAAGGAGTGCAATATTTAAGTGAAGCATTGAAAGTCAACAATACATTGACTAAATTGAATATTGTTTGTAATAACGTTGCTTCAGAAGGAGCGCAATATTTAAGTGAAGCATTGAAAGTCAACAATACATTGACTGAATTGGATATTAGTGGCAATGCAATTCCGTCAGAAGATATACGAGCAAAAATTCACCCATATTTAAAGCGTAATCAAGAGCGATTGGCAAAGAACAAAACTTCTTTTCATGCTTGTAATATCGATGTATCTTCTACTCAACTAGCTTTGAAAAACCAAGTGTCAACGCAACAACAAACCAACTCGATGGAATTTTTTATTAGCTTAGACCAAACTTATTTACGATACAAGAATACGGTTTGGAATGAAAGTACATTGTTGTTTATCATATATATGCAACATCGAAGACTTGAATTATTTGACTCAGGTTTTCAGGCAATGATTTATCCACCATATGAAATGATGACTTATTTCGTAATGGATGCTTCAAACCAAATGGATATTCGAAAGCTGCCCGAGTACTTTGAAACGGATGATTTTATTTGTTCTATTTGTTGCTTTATCTGCAATCATCCTTTTTGTTCGGAGAACTGTAGCCATGTCTTTTGCCAAGGTTGCATTGAAAGTTGGAACAAAACAACTTGTCCAACATGTCGAACAGTTTGTACGAATTGGAAATATTCACCCCTTGCAGAGAATTTTATTTTAAAATTACGTTTGCGTTGTCCTCTTGAATGTGGTTGGCATGGAACCTTAATGGATTATGAAAAGAATCACAAAACAATTTGTCCAAATGAGATGGGTAAATGCAGCTCATGTGACTTGACAATGAAGCGATCTCAATTTGTCGATTCTCATAATAGAAAGTGTGCTTATCAACTTGTTTCATGTGATTATTGTTATTGTGACATTCCATCGTCGTTGCTTGCTGCTCATATTGCTCATGAATGTGCATCAGCTCCCATTGTTTGTAGTGCTTGTAAAGGTTTCTTTCTGACATGGCATTCTTGGAAGCTTCATATTGAGAAAGAATGCGAGAGAGTATTGGAACGATGTGACTATTATGATTATGGTTGTACAGAATACTTGGAGCGAGGTCATTTGAAGAAACATGAAACTGAAGCAATAGCTTATCATCTTTGTTTGTTAAAAGATGCTCTTCAAAAGACTCGACAAGAAGTCCGTTGCCAAAGTCTATTTTAAACTTTTTGGAATTGTGAGTTTTTATAAAAACTGGGTGTTTTTTCTTATCATTTCATAAATGAAGTTTCAAAATATTCATTTGCCTGGTGAACCTTGTCTTTATCACTATTCTCATGAAAGTATTTAAAATAGCCTTGATTTCATCCAAGTGAATCAACACT